TGGGGTCGTTCACAGTCGCATAATCATCATTTAAGGGCAAACCACACCTCGCTGCACTTGAAATTTTCAATAAAGTCACCGGAAGCGTACACGATGCCACCACTGCTGGAGATGACCAACAAATAAGCGTTGATCGTTCGCTGCAAATAAGTGCATATCTCGTCGTTGCTGAGGTGCTCCTTTCCTGCTGAGGGCTTGTGCAAATCTTGGTCAGTACTGGAAATATTTTCTACAACATGAATATTCAAATAATTATATCATTAAAAATACTTTAAACCACACCATTCCGTACCGTTATGTTTTCGCAGAAACGTGATAGTGTGTTTAAGAACGTTTGATTTGTCAAGCTTTCGGTCTGCGGGAACAACGGCAGCCGCCAATTCGGAAACTATCACGTTAAAACTGTCCCTGCGTCGCTTCTCGCTGAGATTACGAGACTTTCTGAAGATTAAATCATCGCTTTATATTCGGACCAGGCCAATACATAAATGAATTATAAAATAGTCCAAACTTGTTTTAAAATTAAAAAATTTTGCATTTCATTCTCCGATTCTTATGTTGTTTAAAAATTGCTACAACATGATCGCAAAACGATCATCAAAAGTTAGTTATTCCTGAGAACACCAGAAAAGTACTGAGAAATGACACAAAACCACTTGGAGTTCAGATATTCGAGAGAACCTTGGTGCACGAGCAAGTTGCGATGATTTGGGCACGTTATGCAAATGTTTCCAGAAAGGAGGGCGAACAACTACCCTACTTCTTCGACTACCTAGCCGACGACCCTGGAGACGGCCAAGATTGACCTGTTAGAAATACCTCAGAGTTTGTTCCAGACGCGTTATTTATTGCGAAGATCAAACACTGGCACATGACCGCGAACGTTGGAAACATTATGTAACGTGTCTCACTCCTTGATCAAAGAGAATAAGCAGGAATCGAAACTAACTAAATTAAAACGAGGAACCGTTCAGTGGCTATTTATTATCACCAGTTCTTACAAATCGTATAAAAACTGTCTTAAACTTCGTCTGACTAAAAGTAAAAGTGTAAGGGAACCAAAAATCTTCAGAACGTGTTACAAAATCAAGCACCATTTCAAAGAACATAAAAGACAAGTTTTAAACGAAATGCAAGTACCTTTTCGTTTCTGAAAGCTCCTCACTCATCGCACCGTGATTATTGAACGTCGAAACAATGTTCTAGCCACCAGCTGCAACGATATCACGTTGCGTGAACAAAAGTTAAACTAAATGATTTGAATAGATATTCAGGCGTTTGACATTATTTCGCTGCTTTCAAAATGTCAAAACATTTGGCCGTGTCAGTTGGATCAAACTTTTCGTTTAGAACGTAAACTGCACTAAAAAAATTACCATCTAAGCACTAAAGCTCAGAATGACGGTACCCGCCAAAACGTTAGCGTGCATCAATTTCAAGATCCGAAAGGCACACGCGCGTTTTACCGTAACTTGATCCGATTTTCATGTACAACGCCAGCACAAAACAATTTTTTGCCGAAAATGAAAATATGGAAATCAAATTGAACTCCGCGTTGCCGTACCCAAGCCCAGATGAGAAACAAGAAGTGTAGGAGATCCAGGCAAAATTTTCCTTCCCTTGTTGTTATTACCGTAATCGGACATTATAGCAGTTCCATTATCACCAAGTTACTACGGCCCACACAGACATCAGAATATGTTCATCGCCTACAAGCAGCCCTGAGTACAAGAGCATAAAAAACTGCGGGTTTTCGAGAACAACGGACTATCTGTTATGAACACTTCTTTAAAGGAACGAAGAATGCATCAGCGCACCTCATGTGAGAAAGCTTATGCATAGAAGTCGATGGTCGATTTCGCAATCTTATTGTCTGACTTACCATGTTCAGTAATGTATGCCCTAGTTAAGAGAGCTGCAGAGCTCTTAGGCAATCATCGCCCTATTGTTGGCACGTTGCACTGTGAGAAATTGAATTTCATATGACGATCTAGT